TGATTATAAGCTAAAATGTAATATTGAAATTTATACTTTACTTGGACTATAAAAATAAAAATCTGCGCAAAAGATTCTCGAAACATTAATTTTAATACTTTTATCTTGTTTTATCTGTCACCAAATTGAGATATTCTTGAAGCATATATAAACATAGTGAATATTCTGTATTATACTTATGTAGAAATATATTATACTTTATAACTTATTATAATAATAATATTAGTTATAGTTTGCCTTAATTTTTTAATAAGTACTTACAATGTTATTAACATTATTAAAATTAAGAGTAACTTTAAATAACTTAAAATATTTGTGTGTATATCTCGTGAACAGTGAGCCCTCGCATGTGATCGAAACAAAAGGTTTAGTGAATAAGCCATTGATTGGAAGCGTTGGAAGCGATAACTCCAAGAATAAAAGCGTGAGAAGAGTGTCGAGTCTACGACTGGCCAACGGAAGAGTGAGCTATACGTCAGTGAAAGCCAATGAAGACGAAAGCAAATCGACGCCAACTAAAAAGAGAGGCGATATACGAGACATAAAAATTAATATTTGTCAGCAAAAGTCATTAGACTTAACGCAAACCGATCCTCTCGTGAAGGGAGAGAGTCTACAGAATTTAGACTCGGAGTCGGAGTACGTGAATGACTACATCACTCCCGAAATGAACTACAAAGACGGCACGGCCTGCAAATCGCCGCCAGTGGTCACCATTAAGGACATGACAGGAGTGACATGGAGTGGCGAAAAGGACGACATCAGTCTATACGGAACGCCTAAAGAGGACCCGAAATGAACTACAAAGACGGCACGGCCTGCAAATCGCCGCCAGTGGTCACCATTAAGGACATGACAGGAGTGACATGGAGTGGCGAAAAGGACGACATCAGTCTATACGGAACGCCTAAAGAGGAAATGCTTCCCGGATTGGCTGAGGCCAAAGTGCCCTCTTTCATGAGGAGTCAAATTGAAGCTCTCTTTCAGCCCTCGGGTCTCAATTGTTTCCATTTTATTCCGTAGCTATAGTTGAATATATATTTCATTTGTTTCTCGTAACAAATACTACTATAATAGACTAGTGTTATGTGTTATGGTTATGTAATTTGAAATTAATTTTTTAGATAACAAGTTGGCGATGAAATTGTTTGGCAGCAAAAAAGCACTTATGAATGAAAGGCTGCGACAAAAGGAATCGGGTCTTTTAATAATACACCCGTGCAGTACATTTAGGTATTTTCCACTAACGTTTATACTTTTGTTTCAACTACTCGTCCCTTGAGTCTCGACCATAGAATACCATACAATGCAATACATTATGTTTACATACTTAATGAGATTGAGTTCATGTCATTCACATTAACACCGACAACAAAAAGTACTCATGAATTGTCTGTGAGGGGAAGTCCTCTTTTTAGTAACAATAAGTTATAATTCTTTGTAGCTATAGCTTTGTAGTTATAATTTTAGTAATATTGCTATAGAATTCTCTATACAAAAACTATATATTTTTATTGATATATATTATATAGTACAAAAAATGAATGACTGCTACAATAGTTACAATTAAAGAATCTTAGATTAGGAAATGACTTAACAAACGGTTTGTATAATAGGTTTTACTGGGACCTATGCATGCTATTACTACTGGTGGCCAACCTTATTGTACTGCCGGTCGCCATCTCTTTCTTCAACGACGACCTGTCGACGCGTTGGATAGCATTCAACTGTCTCTCGGATACCGTCTTTTTATTAGATATTGCCGTCAATTTCAGAACAGGTATTCACTGAACAGGTCACACATATTAGGATAAGTCTAATGCAATCATTGTCGACCATTGGACAGGTATTATGAATCCAGAATTGCCCGAACAGGTGATATTAGATCCGCGGCAAATAGCCAGGTGTTACTTGAGGTCGTGGTTTTTCCTGGACCTGATCAGTTCAATTCCATTGGACTATATATTCCTGATCTTTAATCAAGACATTAGCGACAACTTCCAGATACTACACGCCGGACGTGCGCTCAGGATATTAAGGTTCGCCAAAATGCTGAGTTTGTTACGACTCCTAAGACT